CCAAGATACACAAGGAAGGAACCCCACTCAGACCTATAGTCAGCTCCATAGGCTCACCTCTACAAAACCTAGCCAAATTTCTCGCCAAACAACTACAGCCCTATGCAGAATCCATCACCTCACACGTAAAAAACTCATTCCAGTTTATAGAGATCATAAAGAAACAAAACTTACAGCCCAGCGACCTACTAGTGAGCTTCGATGTCATATCCCTCTTCACCCAAGTGCCTATCAAAGAAGCCTTGACAGCTATTCAAAACAAATATAACCCCCCCAAACACATCTTAGATCTGACCAACCACTGCCTATCCAACACATACTTCATCTATAACGGACAAAAATACAAACAAACAGAAGGAGCACCCATGGGATCACCCCTCTCACCTGTCATTGCCAACCTCTACATGGAACACTTTGAAACCCAAGCTCTAGAAAAATCGGATCACAAACCCAAACTCTGGCTCAGATACGTAGACGACACCTTCATAATCTGGCCACATGGGAAAGAAAAACTGGACAACTTCCTCACACACCTCAACAGCCTACACCCCAAAATACAGTTCACCATGGAAAAAGAAGCTAACAACCAACTTCTTCCTGATTCTAGTATACAAGAAATCCAATGGCTCCTAGGACCACAACCATTCCAGAAGGAAAACACACACAAACCGCTATCTGCACGCTCTCTCACACCCCACCCCAGCACAGATCAAACTCTGTAGAACATAGCCAAGACATCATCTCCAGAAACAAATGCTTAGCTGACGAAACAAACACTAAAAAAACGGAACTAACACCTATCCACCAATGTACTACATCCAATGGATTCAATAGAAATAAGATTACAAACCTAATCCAAAAAGAAACCCCCACTAAAATCCAAGACAAAGAACAAGAAAACGGCAAAGCCTCCTCCCATACATAAAAGGCACCACAGACAGAATCAGTAAGATCCTCCATAAACACAACATCAAAACAGCATTCTGCACAAACAGAAAAATATCCACCATCCTTAGAAACCCCAAAGATAAAATTGAATTAGAAAATCAAGGAGTAAACGAAATCCCATGCACCACTTGTCCCACCACATACATCGGACAAACCAACAGAAGAATAAGTGCACACATTGAAGAACATAAGAACTCAGTCAAAAAAGAGGAACCAACATCTTCACTGGTCCAACACCTTAAAGCCACAGGACATGAAATTGACTTTAAAAATACCAGAACCATTGCCAAAAGTGAACATTTTAATAACAGAATAATCAGAGAAGCCATCGAGATAGAAAAACACCCACACAGCATGAACAAACGAGATGATACCTCCCACCTACCAGCCATTTGGAAACCGCCCTTATTGACAAACGACTCCCTCACACAAAAAATGACACCAGACCCACAACTCACAAAAACCACACAGATGTCCACCACCACACATCCACGCAAAAGCAAAACCCAAAGCCACACAGAGGATGAGGCACGACCACCAAAACCAGAGCCAGACAGAGCTGCATCATAGCCACTTTAAAGCCCCTCCAATCATACATGAAGCAAAACTGACAACCCTCCATGAAAATGAGGCACGACCACCAAAACGCGAGCCAAAAAATAGCAAAGGCAGCCCAAAATCTCAAACCCCTCTGCAACTCAGACTAACCTGAGCAAAACCAAACAGAACACTCCCCCACCAATCAGAGCACAGCCAAGCCCCTAACCATTCAGAACACACCTCCACCCAATCAGAACACAGCCAAGCTCCCACCCAATCAGTTCATACCCCCACTGGCAGTTAAAAGGAAGAAACAGCTAAGACCACACATTGCTGCTCAAAGCACGAAGCTGAAAACAACAGCCTGAAGATGACGAATGGGACTTCGTCGAAACGTCGCCAAGACACTTCCAATTTTATGCGGGAGAAAACCCGAACAACCAAAGACCTACATTATATATATATATATACACACACATATTATATATCATAACGTAAATGCCGGCGTATAAGGCAACTTCCGCGAGCGCGGAAATCGGCGCCAAAGACGGGGGTCGTCTTATACGCCGAGTCGTCTTATACGCCGGAAATACTGGTAGTTTCCGGCATATAAGACGACGTTCTAGGAATGCGGCCCGACTATAAAGACGGGGGTCATCTTATACGCTGGGTCGCCTTGTACGCCGGCATTTACGGTATATATTACACACACACACATATATATACACACACACATACATGCACAACACAACACACACAAACACACACACACCTATATAAAGTAAAAATAAGGAAATATATGCAGTATTATATCTTCATATCTGCATTTTATATATCAAAAGGGTTTGCGGCTCAGGTGTTTTTGTTTTGTGGGAAACAGGTTCAAGTGGGCTCTTTGAGTGTTTTGGGTTGCATACCCTGGTATTCTAAACTAAAGTTTTATAGGTTTCTTTTTCTCAGGAACAAAGGAAGCATAGACAGAATCTTACATTGTGTAACATTCAGATAGTTTCTCACACGTTAGATCCATTTCTCATGGGAATACAATGAAGGCAGTTTTTACTTTTACACAATGTTTCTAAATATGCATTAGGTCATTCACGTACTGTTAATACAGCTTTCTGCTAACACAGCTTTCTTTTCAGAAATTATGCAGACACATGATTTTTGCTTTTAGTGATTTTTCATTATTATTATTATTCTACTTTATTCTTCTTTATTCTATGTTATTCTATTTCTTTCCCACATTAATATTATACAAGTATCACTAGGAATATACATACATGTGCTACGAGCAGAAAACAGCCCTGTTGATTATTTTCAACAATAACTTTATTAAGGATTATAGTCCCAACTCCAACAAAGAAACAATAGAATTATGTATGTGTGTGAATATACATATAAAAATGACCATGTGAAAAAAAGAAAAATAAATCCCTCCAGAAAAGATAGAAAAAGAAATTTTCCCTCTTGTGGTCTCTGAGAGTTGCTTTTTCATGGAAAAATTTTCCACATTCCAGATATTGATAAGGTTTCTATCCAGTGTGGATTTTCTAATGAACAAAGCATAAATCACATTCCTCACATTTATGGGGCTTCTCCATCCTGTCTGGCCCTGTCCAGAGTTTCTACCTGTTGATAGTTGTTTTGCAGGTAAATCTTTGGTCACACTCTTTCATCCGTTGTTCGAAGGAAAAAGAAGCAGGGAAGAATATTTCCTTCTCAGAAATGTAGAGTCACAAAATTTTGGGGAGGAAACTCTGATGTTGTTGTCGTCGTTATTTTGTGGGTTGCTAAGTGGCCCTGGAAAGAACTGCAGCGGTACCTCAGGGGGGTGGGGGAGACCCCGAAGGCCATGTATGAATTAGGGGAGCTGCCGTGATGCGCAAAGCTGCAGACATCCCCAGACGTTTCAGATGCCCCATCTGGGCCTGTCAATGCGTCAGGAATGGTGGGGTGGTGCCTTAAGTGGAGGCCTGAGGCCTTCAGCCATTTCAGGCACGTGCCACTGACCCCAGGCCTGGTCTTCAGCCCAGAATCACTGCTGCCAGTGATGAGGCCTTAATCTGCAGGATTGGGCCACTCTCCAAGCCGCGTGTTCCATACATGTTTCTAAGCAACGCGTCCCAAAGCATCTCAAAGCTTCTCCAGGACCCCCTCAAGTCAAACGTGGCCTGTGCCGGGACTCCAATGGTCTCCTCTGTCCCTCCCCCCCCCCCCCGAGACAAGCCCGTGTTTCTTACCTGGGACTTCATCCACTTAATAATGAGAGTTGAGGTCAGTGTAAGCCCCTCAATTTTTTATCCCCTTTTTTTGCTCTTTCTGATTTTTCCACTTATGAGCTCCATCCCATCATGGCTAATGGATCCTGGCTTCCTCGAGACAAATTTTCTCTCCCTGCATGGATCCGTTTCATGGCTCAGTCTCTTCCTCTTGAAGAGACCACGCAATTTCCCTTTGTGCTATTTATTTAATTGTTTACATTTTTTTGTCACTCATCTCACCAAGGGGCTACTCTGGGGGACTTATAATACTGAAAACGGAGAAATGAATATAAGCATAAACATAATAGTATCAAAGTAATGAAAGGCCTTTGAACTATGGTGCTGGAGAAGACTCCTGCGAGTCCCCTGGACTGCAAGGCATTCAAACCAGTCAGTCCTTTAGGAGAAGGCGTAAGCTTTAGAAGAAGGTGTAAGTGCTTCAGCTTACTAAACTGTAAACCCCAAGTACATTATGGGACAAGGCATAAACAGGAAAAGTCTGCACATATCACAACTAAAAATGAATCGCTGAAACAAGACCCAGTTTGGACTGAGACAACAGTTCTCCATGACTGGACAGGATGAAGGCTGGACGGAGCCAGCCCCACCCATAGCTGAATCCCCAGGCAGCCTCTCTCATCTTCAGCAGTGGTTCTCAACCTTTTTAATGCCGCGACCCCCAACCGGGGGGTCGAGGACTACTCAACCGGTCGTAAGTCGAGGACTACTCAACCGGTGCAGCCCCGTTTGCAGAATGGGACTTTTGGCGGGCTCAGCAGGGCAGAGACAGCCTGGACAATTCCTATTGGCTTTTGAAAGCCAATAGAATTAGACTCTATTCAAGAGACTCTGTTCTATTGGCTTTCAAAAGCCAATAGAATAAAAGGGAGTAGCACAGCTAAGGAAAAGGGGGGAAAAATGGCGGACTGCATTGTTTAGTGACCCCCGTGAAATGGTCATTTGCCCCCAAATGGGGTCCCGACCCACAGGTTGAGAACCACTGATCTTCAGGGTTGCATCCACTCAGCCTTAGCGACTCCCCGACTCCGTGATCTTCCACCCAGAGTCCATCTCCAACTCGATCAACAGTGGCTTCCTCCATAAATATTGAATAAACAAATTACACCTCCCCCCAGCACCTTAGCAGCAAAACCCAATTCGCTGCATTATCCCTTGGTCAAATCAGGATTAAAATAATTAACATGCTTACTCTCCAAACCGAGATTTAACCAAGACTTGTTTACTCACCTTTAAAGTTACAACTAAGAGGTCTCTGGGTCACTTGTTCCCCCTCTGAGTCAAGGCCAGGGATGACTGTCGCACTGACCGGTTTCACAGCCTGACCGATTGGCCCTTCGTGCAGGAAGCTGCTTCTCCATCCAGACCACGATTTCCAAATTCTCTAGAATGGAATCCCTGCGAAAGATTTGTGGCCCTCGATCCGAGAACGTCCCTTTTCTTCTGTGGAGCTGTTGGCCACATCCTCCACTCGTCTCGTGAAGAAAGACAGGAAAAAAGCTCAGATGCCGACAGTAATGCTGAATTTAATCTGTAAATAACTTGAAGGTGGGAGGAGAAAATAGGATTATTTGTTGAGGATACAAAATAATGAAGATAGAATCCGGATTCAAAAAGATAAGCCAACGTAGAAGAAACCAGCAAGATAAAAGTCCAACAGGGAACAATGGATACTTGTGAGTAGGAAATCTCAGTGGAAGATGAGAGAGGTCAGATGGGGCAGAGCATGTGTGAAAAGGGCTGCTCTTTCTTACGCTTTCTGGAGGCTGCAAGGCCACAAGAATTCCAGGTTTCCTGGGACCCCAATGCTACTTTGGATAAGCATTTTAAAATTATGCAAGGCAACCTTCTCGTCATCAGCTTATTCTACAACCTGCTCAAAAAAACAGCCTCAAAATGTCCTTAGAATTTGTGCTTTAGGGGAGGAGAGTAGTGAAGGAAAGAGAAGAGGAGAGGAAGAAGAGGGAAGTAGGGAAGAGAAGAAAGGGAGAAAGAAGGTAGAGAAGAAGGAGTGTGGATACGGTGAAAGGGGAAATGAGCGAGCAACACCAAAAGTCATGTGTATGTATTTATTTCATTTTATTAAAAGTATTTTATATATGAATGTAAAAAGAATATGTTAACATCTGATAAATATCACGGTATATGTATGGGGGAGAGTTTGGGAAAAAAAAAAAAAGAATTTGTGCTTTCTAAAACATCCACCAAACAGGGGCTGCCACATCACAGCCTCTTCTGAGTAAATAAACAAGGAAAATATAAAGTTTAGAAATTCTAGCCAGCTTTTTAAAGAAGAAGCAAAACAAACATTAGCATCAAAACAAAGGATTTTATTTTTCGCCTTTTATATTGAGCTCAAAGAAAGAGGATCTCTTGGGGGGGGGGTTTAAGAAAACATGAGCTCAATTCAAATCATTTTTAAAGTAAACCTTTTCTATCTCCCAAACTGTCCCCTCCCCATTGTAATGAAGTCTGTCAGAGCATGTACAGACTTCCCCCCCTCCACGCTGAGAAAACCCAGGAGTAAATAAACAGTGGTCTATATTAAATGGTGGTTTATACCACACTATCTACATTCTACAATATACATACATATGGTAATACAGCAATCTCGAGACACCCCAGCAAAGCCTTCACTTTTATTCTCAGGCTCTTAAAGGGATATAGACACAGACCCTGCTCGGTCATTCCTATCATTGCATCATTACATAAGCTGTTTACCTATTAAATATATTACCCTGACAACTTCCACATTGCATATCTCATTTTTTCAACTGCACTTGCGGGATAGGCATGCTCAGAGTGACGGACCACAGAGAGACCTTCTGAAAGCAACTTCCCCAAAAACTCCTTCCAGGATCCACCCGGAGCCCCACGGGGAGCCTCGGCCGGGCGAGGAGGGGGCAGATCCAGCCCGGGGAGGGAGGGATTCCCCCTTTGCCCCCTCGGAGGGAAGGGAGGGATCCGCTCCCTGCAGGCAACGCCAGAGCCGAATCTCCCCAAGGAAAACCCGGCAAGCCGAAGAGGCGGATCCGCAGCTACCTTTCTCCTGGCGGGGGGGGGAGGGAAGCTCTCCTGGCGGGAGGGGCGCCCCAAAGGCCGGAGGGGCAGCAGCCAGACCTGCCCGGAGCGGGATCCAGAAGCCTCTCCCGAGGGATCTAGCGCTGATCCTGCCGGGGAGGAAAGCGGAAATCCAGCGAGTGAGAAGGTCGATGCGGGGGCGGGGCTTCTACTCTGCTCTCGGGCTCTGCCTTCCGCCCCGCCCTTTAGCGGTCTCAGCTCCTCCCTCTCCCTCCCCTTCCCGGGCGGGACTCCAACCTTGGCTCTTTTATGACTCGTGGACTTCAACTCCCAGAATTCCTGAGCCAACATGGCTCAGCTTGGAAACCTCTCCCTTTCCCCTCAGCATGGCTGACTCAGGAATTCTGGGAGTTGAAGTCCACGAGTCATAAAAGAGCCGAGATTGCCCCCCCCCCCCCGGCGAGACAGAGAGATAGACCTTTTTTTTAGGTTTTTCTGTTTAGGAATTCCGTTCAGAATGCCAGTAAGTCCCGGCAATCTGTGGCTACCTTTTTCTGGACCTGCTAAAAGACTCTCTTGGTGTTCCTTCCCAACTGAACAGTAAATATTTATTTTAAGGCCTGGGAATTTTTAACCAACCCCTGTATCTTCACATCTTTCATAGCTGCTGGTGCAGAGTTTACAGGATGGCCTTACATCCTGATCATTTAAATTGGGTGGGGGGGGGGTCTATGAGGACCATGAGCACGCATGGGCTTTCTGCAGAATCTCGGGCTCTTTGGGTTGGTCATCTCCTAATCCCCCAGAGCCCCCAGGACAGGAAAGAAGAGAGCTTGGGGGAACAGCCCAGATCTCATGCTTGTTCTCCTAGGACAGGGGTAGGCAACCTAGGCTCTTTTATGACTCGTGGACTTCAATTCCCAGAATTCCTGAGCCAGCCTGGCTCAGTTTGGAAACCTCTCCCTTTCCCCTCAGCATGGCTGGCTCAGGAATTCTGGGAGTTGAAGTCCACGAGTCATAAAAGAGCCAAGGTTACCTATCTCTGGCCTAGGCCTAGGCCGCTTAATGACTCGTGGACTTCAGCTCCCAGAATTCCTGAGCCAGCCATGCTGAGGGGAAAGGGAGAGGTTTCCAAGCTGAACCAGGCTGGCTCAGGAATTCTGGGAGTTGAAGTCCACGGGTCATAAAAGAGCCGAGGTTGCCTAGCCCTGCCCGACACTATTTCAGAGAAGTGATTGTCTAGGACAGGGTTCTTCAAACTTGGTCCTTTTATGACTCGTGGACTTCAACTCCCAGAATTCCTGAGCCAGCCTGGCTCAGCTTGGAAACCTCTCCCTTTCCCCTCAGCATGGCTGGCTCAGGAATTCTGGGAGCTGAAGTCCACGAGTCATTAAAAGAGCCAAGGTGGCCTACCCCTGTCCTAGGGGCAATACAAAACAACGAGGAAACCGGCTTGAAAATACCAAGCCACTGCAGAGTGGAAATGATTTTACTTTTTATTTTCAATTTCTTTATATCGCACCTTTGTTAGTTTTAGAAAAAAAATAAAACACAGAAGATGTCTATTTTCCTCAGAAGAACCCTGCAAGGTAGGTGAGGCTGAGAAAGTAACAAGGTTACTCAGCTTTTTGTGGCAAAGGCAAGACTTGAACTCATGGTCTACTACTTTCTAGCCCAGTGCCTTAACCACTAGGCCAAACAGCTTCTCCTGATTTATATAGGTGATGTTTATTCGGAATGATCTTTTAAGATGTGTGGACTTCAGCTCTCAGAATTCATGCTGGCTGGGGAATTCTGGGAGTTGAAATCCATACATGTTAAAGTTGTCAAGCTTGAGAAACACTGATAAAGATGTACATAGGTATACACCAGTGTCCATGTAGGCACATAGGTGTATTTTAAGGAGTGTGCATGTTTGAGTCATCCGGCCTTCAAGGAGAAGGAGAAGTGTAAGGATGCAAATACACGTTCAAGACCAGAACTGGTTCAAGATCAGTGTGGCTGGTAGTGCCCTTGCTCACTTGCAAGGAGCAGCTGAAGAAGGGGAGACAAACCATTATAAAAATGAATAATTAACCCAGATCCTGACCGATAAGATTTGCCATCTCTAGGCTGATCAGGAAGGGGGCCCATTGGTTCAAATGGATGGATAAATGTTTTGCCAAATAGGGAAATAAGTCAATCGGAGAGTGAGGTGGTTGGTGTCTAAATTTGATAATAAAGAAACAAAAATAAATATGTTCAGGTGGTCCTCAACTTAAAACTGTAATGGAGTCTGCCCGTTATTGATCTGGGTCATGGCTTTTGTGAGCGAAGTCCGTCGCAACTTCAAACGGTTGCAGGCTGATGGCTGTCTGTATTGAACTTCCATGGCCGTGCGTGTGTGTGTGTGTGTGTGTGTGTGTCTCCAGTTGTGCTTGAGCTCTTGGCTGAAATGGGGAACTGATCCAAACTCAGCCGTTCTCACTTGAGCTGGGAAGGAAAGACGGCAGAGACCCCCACAGGAAGAACCAAGAATAATAAAAAACCCTTTGTTGGCGGAAGAAGCTGAATGCTCAGATATACTCTGTCTGTGTTTGTGTGTGTGTGTGTGAATTAGCAGGGTGAACCTGGCAGAATGGCCTCTTTTTTCTAGTATCCATTGACCTTCCGAGTAGCCCAAGACTGGACCTTCCCTGTTTGGACTTTCCTTGTTCTGAACTGTATAGCTCTATGTAACCTCGTATAGCTCTATGTAACCCTAACTAGAGAGCATATATCAGTATGTTAGAACATCTGGCAGTTATTGGGTTAAATGCTGATTTGTTAATGGGTCAGTCTCTAAAGGGCATTGGGAGACTTCCTGGACACAAGCCAGATTGGAATGTCTTTGTCTGAAAGAAGCATGGGCTATCAGATGTCACCCGATGAGCCTGCGCCGTTATAAAGATGGTATGGAAGAGAGCATCATTCTTTTACCTATAGGAATGGACAAAAGATGTATTTTCCAGAAGTAACAACCACAGCATGAATGCAAATAATCTTTCTGATTAAAATATGTTTTTTGTTATGAAATCATTTCTATCGAGTTATCTATCTGACTTGATTTAAAAGAAGGCGTTTTTAACTCAGGGTCAGAATATTCCCAAAGAACCTTAAATCCATAAAGGGAAAGAGCCTCCTCCATAAGTCCTAAGACGCATCAGGGAACCAGGCGCCTCTGGGGAACCAGGGGTCCGAATCAAGGTGCTCACAGGGGCCCCCGCCCTGTGCTTGGAGGGGGAGGGAAGATGCCAGAAGCCCTCCCCTGAAGTAGCCAATAGAAGTCAGGCAGATCCCAGCTTCTGGGCACATCAGCAACTATGTCATAAAGGATGTTTCTATGGGATCAAGAGGGAAAAGACCACTTTCAAATTGAAACAGCCAGGAAATTATGCTGTGTTAGGCTGGAGATGAGATGTCATTTCATGGAGGAGAGAGGGGAATAGAATTAACCACAGTTCAGGGCAACCGAGGAGTTAAGGTAGGTCTCGTTTACTGAAGCTAATGAATCCTACAAAAAAAAATGCATTAAATTTATACTACTTGAAGTGACATCTCTATGGAAAATAGGGCAATTGGTTCTAGACAAATGTAAATTGGAAAGAAAAATACTGACTATAATACGATATATGAATAATAATGAAACATCTCAGTAACGAATAACAAGAATATCCTTAAAAGAATTTAAATGTATAGTTAAAACCACAGCTGTACACACAATAGCGTTAACTGCACACACGAAAGCCTGACATTAATTGAATTTTGGGTCACATGAAACACAACCTGGTATCTATTTAAAAAGTTCACACTAAATTGAACATTGCATAATATTCTTACAATATAATGCCAACTCTATTAGAAACACCGAGCAGTCAAGAAGGATGAGTTTCTTCAATCACACAAGACACCTGCAACCGTTCCTGATATGCTTTAGCCTCAGTCCCCTAATCATCTTTCTTGCTCTTCTCTATACTCTTTGTAGAGCAGTGGTTCTCAACCTTTTTAATGCCACGACCCCCAACCGGTCATAAGTCGAGGACTACTGAACTGGTGCAGCACCGTTTGCAGACTGGGACTTTTGGCGGGCTCAGCAGGGCAGAGACAGCCTGGACAATTCCTATTGGCTTTTGAAAGCCAATATAATTAGACTCTATTCAAGAGAGTCTATTCTATTGGCTTTCAAAAGCCAATAGAATAAAAGGGAGTAGCACAGCTAAGGAAAAGGGGAAAAAAATGGCGGACTGCGTTGTTTGGCGACCCCCATGAAATGGTCGTTCGACCCCAAATGGGGTCCCGACCCACAGATTGAGAACTACTGTTCTAGAGTCTCAACATCTTTTTTTACATCTTGCCTGTATTTCATCTCCCACAGTGGAAAGCAACCACTCAGGGACAGTTCAGAGTTCCAGCAGTGTACAGCTGCCTTTTTTGGTAACTGCTGGAAGACTTTGTTGGTGTTCCCTTTTAACTGGAGAGTAAAAATTGTATTTAAGTCCTCAGAGTTTTTAATTCAGATTAACCTCAGGCCTTAGAATGCTCTGTGATAGCCACTGGTGTAATGCTTGTGTGACCCTCCATTATGAGCACTTTAAACTACACACACACACACACACACACTAGCCTCACATTAACTGAATTTTGGGTTGCATGAAATACAACTTGGTATCAATTTACAATTCGCACTGAACTAATTACATAATTCAAAGTTGCACTTCCTGTAACCGACGATGTGTTTCCTAGGATTTGGTTCGATCAATCACGAGTGTGTCAGGCACAACTGATCTGATCTGCCTTTAAGAGCAGGGGCCCACCCCAATCCCCCAAAACATTTTTCCTAAAGTTTCATCGGAAATCTACATCTTTCAATTCAACACCAGAAGTCAAAATTCTCCAGTGAGAGAGGATGGAGTCAAAAGAATCCAGAGGGCAGAAGGGATTGGACAACTGGACTTCTGACCATTTTAAAGGGCATCACATAACAGAGCTAAAAAAAAAAAGGTCAGGATTTTCACTAAACACTATGGCACAATTTGGTGGCCATTTTGATTTTTCTGAGCCTCCCCTGAAAACAGTCCTGTTGATTTTTTTCAAAAATAACTTTATTAAGGATTATATTCAGAGATCCAACAAAGAAACAATACAAGTTAGTATGTGTGAATATGCTTTTCACTGAATAAACAACCAGAGGCATCTTCGTTTGACCCCTCATCCCACTTTCTCCTAAGTAAGATTCTACATTTAGGCCAGAAAAACCAAATGCACAGGTATAATATAGGGGGTACTTTGCTCAATAGTAGTAACTGTGAGAGGGATCTCGGAGTCCTAGTAGACAATCACTTAAATATGAGCCAGCAGTGTGCTGCTGCTGTCAAAAAGGCCAATGCAGTGCTAGGCTGCATTAACAGAGGGATAGAATCAAGATCACATGAAGTGTTAATACCACTCTGCAATGCCTTGGTAAGGCCACACTTGGAATACTGCATCCAGTTTTGGTCATCACGATGTAAAAAAGATGTTGAGACTCTAGAAAGAGTACAGAGAAGAGGAACAAAGATGATTAGGGGACTGGAGGCTAAAACATATAAGGAACGGTTGCTGGAATTGGGTATGTCTAGTTTAACGAAGAGAAGGACGAGGGGGGACATGATAGCAGTGTTCCAATATCTCAGGGGCTACCACAAAGAAGAGGGAGTCAAGCTATTTTCCAAAGCGCCTGAAGGCAGGACAAGAAGCAATAGATGGAAATTGATCAAGGAGATAAGCAACCTAGAGCTAAGGAGAAACTTCCTGACAGTTAGAACAATTAACCAGTGGAACAACCTGCCTCCAGAAGTGGTGAATGTTCCAACACTGAAAGTTTTTAAGAAGAAACTGGACAGCCATTTGTCCAAAATGTTATAGGGTTACCTGCCTGATCAGGGGGTTGGACTTGATGACCTCCAAGGTCCCTTCCAACTTTATTATTATTATTATGGATCATCGCAGTCAGCCAGATGCTCAGACTGGATTTGGCATTTTGTCTACCTATCGAGTCCTTACCCAGGACCTGGGATAGGCAGATGTGGATGTTTGATGGTATTATAGATATCGTTGCAGGATGGAAGCAGTTCCTAGTAAGGCCGCCTTTTGCAATTGACTAATAGCGAATCTGTCAATGCCAATGGTGTTCAAGTGGTGCTCCAGTTGTTTTGGGATTGCACCCAAGGAGCCTATTACTATTGGTACTATCCTTGCTTGTTTTGCCAGAGTCTTTCTATTTCTATTTGTAGGTCTTTGTATTTTGTTATCTTCTCCAGTTCTTTCTCGTCTATTCTGCTGTCTCCAGGCACTGCCACGTCCACTATCCAGACTTTTTTGTCTTTCTTATCGACAATTGTTAAGTCTGGGGTGTTATGTTGCAGGTGCTTGTCTGTTTGAATTCTGAAGTCCCAGAGCAGTTTAATTTTATCATTTTCTATGACTTTCTCTATTTTATGATCCCACCAGTTTTTGCTTACAGGCAAATGATATTTTTTGCAGATCTTCCAATGCACCATTGTTGCTACTTTGTCATGCCGCTGCTTGTAGTCAGTCTGTGCAATCTTCTTGCAACAGCTTACCAGGTGGTCCACTGTTTCTTCAGCTTCTTTGCATAGGCGGCACTTACTGTCTGTTGCTGTCTTCTCAATTTTGACTTTGTATGCATTTTCCAGAGGACTGGAAAAGAGCTGATGTAGTTCCCATCTTCAAAAAAGGAAAAAAAAAATGGATTCAGGCAATTACAGACCTATCAGCCTGACCTCAATACTTGGGAAGATTCTGGAAAATAATCAAACAACGAATCAGCGAACACCTAGAGGCAAACAAAGTCATTACTAAAAGCCAACATGGGTTTGCCAAAAACAAATCATGCCAGACAAATCTTATTGCATTCTTTGACCAAGTGACAAAATTAGTGCATCAGAGGAATGCTGTGGATATAATTAACTTGGTCTTCAGTAAGGCATTTGATAAAGTAGATCCCTCGGGAGAGGCTTCTGGGTCCTGCTCCGGGCAGGTCGGCCTGTTCTCCCTCCTGCCTCCGCTCCCGCCAGGATCACAACCTTTTTTAAAATAACACCCAGGCCAGGGAACCTTTTTTTCAGTTTATCCCAATTATGAACTTTGTGGGTCTTTTTTTTAAAAAAGATTTCAGGATAAAACATTTTCTATGCTACAAATATTTCTAGGGCTCCTCTCTGTGGGGACTCACAACAATTGTCTCATTTCAAGGAACAGATTTTCCACACACCAAGCTCTGATGTGGTTTTTCACCCAGAAAGAGTGTCCAATAGTCCGAGCACCTGGAGGGTTTCTCTTCAGGGCAGACCCAGGTAGACACTCCAGAAAAATATTTCCCATACCAAACATACAATTTATTTTTCTTGAGGATTCTTTGGGGCCTCCAGAAGTCTCAGTGAGGTCAATATTTTGCACTATTCCAAGCATTTCAACAATGACCCCCTTTTGTGAATACTTTAGGGTTTATCAAGGTAGTCCTTACAGGTAGTCAACTTATAAAATCACTTAACGGTTCAAAATTACGGTAAACATGTATGGCCCATAAGCCATTGTAAAATATCTTCCCCCCACCCCCAAGTCACCTGAACACATTATGAGCACTTGGCAACCGGCTGGCTTTTGCATCCAGTTCCATGATCTTGCAGCCATCAGATCACAATCTGCATTTTTGGGTCATTTTTTTGCAGAAAATGCAAATTTGGAAGAATGGCTTTCTACTTAGGACTGCTTATTACAAAAAATGTCATAAAATCAGATCCGGTCATATGGGTGACACAGCGTATGATTGGGTAAACCTATGACCAGGAATCTGTTCCCAATTGCAGTCATAAGTTGAGTACTGGTTGTGCTCTGCAAAACATAATGTACACTCCCTCAACACTTGTAACCTCTTTTCTCTTGTGTAATCTCTCTGGTAAGTTACTAACGATGCTGCTTTGTGAGCCAAACGTTTTTGCACTCTCCGCATTTATGCGCTTTTGCTTGACTGTGTACTCTGATTGTATTTAACGCAATGTGACCAGGAAAAACATTTTCCCCACATGAAACAATTGCATGATTTCTCTTCTGTCACTGTGTGACGTTCCTGGTGAACACTAAGATGTGACTTTTGGAAAAAAATATTACTCTCATTCTTCACAACTGAAAGGGTTTATCTCTGCTATGGACATTCTGGTGCATTTTTATCTCTGATTTACAATGAAGTTTTCTCATACTCTGCACATTTATAAGGCCACTACCTTGTGTGAATTCTGGTATGCTTGTGAAGTCCTGAACGTTGGGAAAAACATTTCCCACACTTCAGACACTTATATGGTTTTTTTCCAGTGTGGGTTGTCTGATGCATCAACAGATTATATTTACGGGAAAAACATTTATCACATTCCGAGCATTTGTGAGGTTTCTCTCCTGTATGGATTTGGCTGTGACTTCTAAGGGAAAATAAATGAGCAAATGTTCTCCCACAGTCTAAACACTTGAAATTCTTTTCCCCTGTGTGAACTTTTATATGATTTCTAAGTTCTGATGTGCTACGATAAAATTGTCCGCACTCGATGCATTGATATGGCTTCTTCCCTGTGTGGATTTTATGATGTCTCAAAAGGTTTCCATTTTCAGCAAAAGCTTTTCCACATTCTAGGCATCTGTGTGGCTTCTCTCCCGTGTGGAGCCTCTGGTGCCTTCCAAGGTTGGGTTTTTGGGAAAAGCATTTCCCACATTCCCCACATTTGAATGGCTTCTCCCCTGTGTGGATTCTCTCATGATTCTGAATCTCTGTTCGAGTAAGAAAACTTTTCCCACACTCCTCACATTGATAGGGTTTCTCCCCTTTGTGCCTCTTCTGGTGTGTCCAAACTTCAGAAGAATTTACAAATCTTCTTGTGCATGCTGGGCATTCATAGGGTTTTTATCCAGTGTGAATTCTCTGATGTCGCACCAGATTTGATTTCAAGTTAAAACATTTTCCACAATCGAGGCACTTTTCATTTTTCTCCCCTCTGTGTGTTTTCTGATGATTGTGAAGATATGTTCTCAGGGTGAAATATTTTCCACACTCAAAGCATTTGTAAGGTTTTATTCCTCCATGAATCTTCTCATGGGCGCAAAGACATGAATTCCGAGAAAAGCTCTTCCCACATTCCCAACACGTGTAAGGTTTCTCCCCTGTGTGAATCTTCTCGTGGTGTCTGAGATGGGCTTTTCGACGAAAAAATTTCCCACACTCCTCACATTCATAGGGTTTCTCTCCAGTGTGGATTTTCTGATGTGTAAGAAGGTGTGATTTTTGACCAAAGCATAAGTCCACGAGTCATAAAAGAACCAAGGTTGCCTACCCCTGGCCTAGGCCTAGGCCGCTTTATGACTCGTGGACTTCAACTCCCAGAATTCCTGAGCCAGCCTGGCTCAGCTTGGAAACCTCTCCCTTTCCCCTCAGCATGGCTGGCTCAGGAATTCTGGGAGTTGAAGTCCCCGAGTCATAAAAGAGCCAAGGTTGCCTACCTCTGGCTTAGACCATGGTTGTGGGGATACCGCAGGAGTGGGATTGGTCCTGGGGATCAGGCACAGGTCACCCATGAGTTGGGGGGTGCTGAAGTGGGATGTAAAGCTGCCGCCCTACTGAAAACCTGAGCTGTCTCAGCCTGGCCATGCAATAACAGCCCTGATGGACAGCAATGCTGGGCTGGGCCAAAGTGGAGGCCTGGAGCCTTCAGCCATCTGCCACTGACCCCAGAATTGGACTTCAGCCCAGTGTCTCCGTTGCCACTTAGAAATGCGGCCTCAAGCCTCGGACCGGAGGCCTTAGCAGCCTTGTGCCATTCTCCAAGACGTATGATGCATACATGTTTTCAATCAAGGTGTCCCAAAGCACCTCCAAGCTTTTTCAGGACCCCCCTCAACTCAACCATGACCTATGCCAGCCTCTCCTGCCCACTTCAGCTTGTTTTTTTTTTTAACCTGCTCACAAGATCAGCCTCAAAACATCCTTTGTAAAACATCCACCAAGAAGGGGGCGGGCACATCAGAGCTTCTTAAGGGGAAAACAAGGAAAACATAAGATTTAGAAATTCTACCCATCTTTTTAAAACGGAAGCAAAATACAGATTAGCATCAAAACAAAGGATTTTATTTCCCCCCCCCTTTAGACAGAGCACAAAGAAAGAGGATCCCTTTTGTGGGTTAAGACGTGAGCTCAATTAAACTAATTTAAACGTGTTTTCTTTCCCCCCAAAACCTCCCATCCCCGTTGCAATGAGGACAGAAGGTGTTAATAGCATACGACAGACCTCAATGAATGTTTTTTTAAAGCTCCATTTACTCCATTTTTTTGCAACTGAGCCCGTCAAAAGTCCCATTCTGCAAACGGTGCTGCACCAGTTGAGTAGTCCTCGACTTACGACTGGTTGAGTAGTCCTCGACTTATGACCGGTTGGGGGGTCGCGGCATTAAAAAGGTTGAGAACCACTGATCTAATGGTTAAACTTATGAATGTAAAATGTCAGCATTTAATGGTAAAGCCTATGCATGTAAAAAGTATATAAAAACCAATAAACACACAGAGACTCTCAAGCTGTGACAAGCAGCTCTGCAGCAGCTTCAAATCTCTGCTCAAGACATGCCTGAGTCTTTTTCTTAGCGTCTTACATTCTGACTGCACAGTATGGCACAATTTGACTACAGAAAAAATCAGGTCCTGTTCCAAGCCAGGAGGGACGCTGTAGAAATGAGCTGAAGGCATGCTCCATTTTTGAAAGGAGGTCTCTTTATTTTGTTGCCAGAAACTTCAGGGACAGCAGCATGTTTTTAAGGTGGCTGAGCAAATGGCTGGGCGAGTGAGTGGCTCCTTATGGGGCTCTGAGACTTCGAAGTGGAAATGTTTCCGGGTTGTGCAATGAAGTGGGCTTTTGTGTCTTTTGCTAGTCAGAAGAGGGTGTTCAGTGATCCCTATTGTGCCTAAAAAGTCCTGTCTTTGGATTTGGGGGGGGGGCTGCAAATTCTTCATCCCATCCGCTGTGGGGGGGGGGGGCTGAAGGTGTTTTATTTATCAATAGATTGGCCCTATATTTCGTAATAGTGTGAGATGTAAAAAACCCAAATTTTGATACTCACAATACAAAGACAAGTCTGGTTAACAAAACAAAAGTTTATTGGAGAATAACATAAACAGAATAAAAGAGAAAAGAGAAAGAATAGAAGAGAGGAGCGTTTGCAAACGCAGCCCCCTGGATCCTTCCCTATGGATTGGATTCCAGGAGCACGCTGGCCTGGTTTCAAGTTTTGCATTTTATACCCCTAAAATGCATGTCACCTCTAAGCAGCTCTTTCATCTTTATAGATGTATTCTGAAGTTGTACTTTGTTAACCTGGCCCCTTCCGTCCATCTGCTGTTATCTTGTTTATTTGGAATTCTCACCTTGGGTCAAAATCCCTTTCTTCGATAGTAGGATTTCTACTCAAAGTGTAAGTTCCTGTGTCTGGAGGATTTTTAGGCAGGAAATAGTAAACATTTGGTCATATATTGGCATTGCATTGTTACATTTGTGTTACAGTGTTACATTTGTACTAAAGAGACAGTTTCATATAATGGCATTACATTTCTACAATTATTAAAAGAATAACTTTTATTTCCTTCAATAGGTACAAAATATCCATTTCTAAAACTTGAGGATTCTGCTTGAGGCTATTAAGAAAGACTGGGGCTGCTTTCTGCCTTTATTAAGATTTTTCTCCATTTCTCCTTTTGGGGAAATATAATATTCTGCCTCTTTTTAATATTAAGAATAAAGAATATTTTAATTTGGGGAAGGGGGGGCCTTCCTACACTACCATCTTGACTTGTTTAATCCCCGCCCCAGTCTGTACCCTGAAAATAGTCCTCTTGATTATTTCAACAATCATTTTATTAAGGATTATATTCACAGATCAAACAAACTTAATCCAATATGTACAGCATATCAGTGAATATACCGTGAATATACCGTGTGTGCATATACATATGAAAAAAGACAATGTGAAAAAAAGAAAATAAATCCCTCCAAAAAGGAGAGCAAGAAAAAGAAATTTTCCCTTTTCATCCTCAGCTGGAATATATTCAACATCAACACTTTATCACTAAAATAAACAACCGGATGCATCTTCGTTCCACCCCTTTCCCTGTTCTCTCCAAACCTTTAGTTCTCTTCACTGATCAACAAAGGCTGAATAAGAATTAACAAAAATATCTGGGTGCCTTGAATTACGACGGTAACAATTTATGACCAGAAATCCATTCCCAATTGTGGTCATAAGTTGAGGACTATCTGTACTCTGCAAAACATTACATATTCTCTCCACAGTTAGGACTTTTTCGTGTAATCATTCTGGTCAGTTACTCATGTCGCTTTGCGAACAAAACATTCTCACACTCCCAACGTTTACGCCCTTTTGTTTTACTGTGTGCTCTGTGATGGAATTGATGTTAGTTGACTAGGAAAAACATTTTTCCCACGCTAAACATGGTAGGTTTTTCCCTTCTTTTTTCTTTTTTAAACAAGTTTTATTAATTTTCCATTTTTACAAAACTTTGGGTATTAAGGAAACAACAAGGTGGTTAGGTAACACATAGTCCAATAACAAACTTATCCATACATATGTCAATTTACATCATCAAAAATTTCTTCTCTAGGAACTAGGATTCTAATTTTGACTGTGTTCTATTGCTTGTGCTTCCCTAATGTTGAATTCCAATATTGTATGATCACTTCCTCCCAAGGTTCCTGTGGCTTCAACACCTTCTATCATTTCATCTCTGTTAGTGAGAATTAGTTCCAAAATGGCTAATCCTCTAGTTCCCTTCTCTACTTTTTGGGAGACAAAATTGTCTGCTAGGTTTGCAAGGAATCTGTTTGATCTTCCACTTGGTGCAGAGTGTCTCCCAGTTGATGTCAAGGTAGTTAAAGTCCCCCATTACTATTATGATGTGCTTCATACATACTTTAGTTAGCTGACTAGCAAAAAGTTCATCTATTTCCTCTGTTTGGTTGGGTGGCCTGTAGTATACACCTATGGTAATGTCATTCCCCTCCCCTTTTATATTGACCCAAATGCGTTCAAGACAGTTTTCATTATTGTTGTGCTCTATTTCTGTAGAGATGTAGTTATTTCTTACATATAGAGCAACTCCGCCTCCCTTTTATTTGGTCTGTTTCTTTTAAATAATTTAAATCCCTCTAGCTGTGTGTTCCATTTGTGGGTTTCATCCCACCATGTTTTCGTAATGGCAACAATATCATATCTGCCCTCATTAACCTGAATTTCTAGTTCAAAGTTAAGTTAAGCTTTTATCGGTTCAAAGTTAAGCTTTTATCGGTTCAAAGAAAGAAGAGAGTAATATTCCTTTTTTTTTTCAGCTCATCAAAAAATAAAATAATAAATTTCTGTAAGAGTAAAGAACTTTTTGGGAGCCCAGGTATCCAAAAATTACAAGTCCAAATATTTGGACATTTAATCTAGTTGTTCTCTCTCTCTCTCTCTCTCTCTCTCTCTCTCTCTTTAGCTTTATATTCCCAAAATAGGTAGGAGCTGCAGAATTGAGCAGGGGGAAAGGTGTATTTCAAAAGGCTTTTACAAGAAAATAGTTGGGAAGCAGGAAAAATAAGATAAGGTCTCACCCAACTCCTCCAGCTTGCTTTCATCGTGCTTAGTAGTGCTTTGGGCTTTCGGCAGGAATGGCTTGGTGATCGGCCATGTTAATGGCTGATCCTTTCTTTGTCAGTCCAAAGGAGCTGCCTCAGATCCAGCGGAAGGGCTGCCGCCTTTCTGCAGTCACTCGAGGGTCCATCTCAGCAGTGGTCACCCCTCCAGGGCGACTTTCAACCCTTTACAGGGTCTTCCGGCAGAGAAAAAACAGACGGAGGAGAGAGCAGCCTCTTCGCATGCACAGCGGCACCGCAATCACAAACCGGAAGCCATAGGTTTTTCCCTTCTGTCACTGTGTAAAATTCCTGGCAAATTGCAAGGTGTGACTTTTGAAAAAGTTTTTTCCCATATTGCTCACGACTGAAGAGATTTATCTCTGCTATGGACTTTCTGATGTATTTTTATCTGTGATTTACAATGAAAAATTTTCTCACACTCTGCACACTTGTAAGGCCTCTTCCCTGCATGACTTCTGTTGTGCCTGTGAAATGATGACGGTTGGGCAAAACATTTCCCACACTCCAGGCATTTATATGGTTTTTCTCCAGTGTGGATTCGCTGATGTTTCAAAAGAGTATTTTTTTGAGAAAAACATTTATCGCACTCTGAGCATTTATAGGGCTTCTCTCCTGTATGGATTCGGCTGTGACTTCTAAGGGAACATGATTGAGCAAATGCTCTCCCACAGTCTAAACATTTGTAGGTTTTTTCCCCTGTGTGAATTTTCACATGACTTCTAAGGGCTGATGGGGTACTATAAAATCTTCCACATTCGTTGCATTGATGTGGCTTCTCCCCTGTGTGGGTTTTATGATGTGCCCAAAGGCCTCCCTTCTGTCCAAAACATTTCCCACATTCTAGGCATCTGTGTGGCTTCTCTCCTGTGTGGAGTCTCTGATGTTTTACAAGGTGTTGTTTTTGGGAAAAGCATTTCCCACACTCCCCACATTTGAATGGCTTCTCCCCTGTGTGGAATCTGTGATGAACCTGAAGATGGGTTGGCGAAATAAAACTTTTCCCACATTCCATACATTTATAGGGTAGCTCTCCTTTGTGCCATTCCTGGTGTCTCTGAAGCTCAGAAGAATACATAAATCGTCTCTCACATTCTGGGCATTCAAAGGGTCTGTCTCCAGTGTGAAGTCTCTGATGTCGTACCAGGTGTGATTTACTGGAAAAACGTTTCCCACATTCGAGGCACTTTACATTTTTCTCCCCTCTGTGTGTTTTTTCATGATTCCGAAGAGTTGAACTCAGGCTGAAGCATTTTCCACACTCAAAGCATTTGTAAGATTTTATTCCTGCATGAATCTTCTCATGGGCCCAAAGACTTGCATTCTGAGGAAAGCTCTTCCCACATTGCCAACACTTGTAAGGTTTCTCCCCTGTGTGAATCCTCTCGTGGTTTCTGAGGGTGGATTTCTCACGGAAAAAAATCCCACATTCCAGACATTGATATTCTTTCTCTCCAGTGTGGATTTTCTGATGTGTAAGAAGGTGTGCCTTTTGACCAAAGCATATGTCGCATTCCAGACATTTATGGGGTTTTAATTTGGGAGGGCTTTTCAGACCTATGGCACCTTTTCCAGAGAAGGATTTCTCATCCTCCAAAGCTTGACTGGATCCACTTTCCACATGGACCTTCCTGTGGGTCAAAAGGAGGGACTGGCAAGCAAAAGATTTCCCACGCTCTGAGTGTGTTTTTTTGGTTTGGTTTTCTGAAGTGATGCTTGTGTCTGACGGGGGATCAAAGAGTTTCCCAAGCTCCATGTTTTCTGGCGGCTGCTGCCTTGTGCCGATTTTCTACTATGGGCTGATGGCTGTTTTGCAGGTAAATCATTGGTCTCAGTTGTTTTCCTGCTGATGAAACAAACAAACAAACAAAAAGATGAGAACAGTATTTCCTATCGAGAAACATAGAAAATCTCAAAATCATTGGCAAGATGCTGACATCTTCTGTAAACGGCTCAGAGAGTGCCGTAAAAAAAACAATGTGTCTAAGTCTAAGTGCTATTGCTGTTGTTAATAACCACCACAACAGAGGACACCAAGGTCCCTACACCAGCTCTGGCCAAAGAGCCCCTTGTTGTCTCAGTGCATCAAGCTTCTCATCCCAGCATCAGTTGAGAGGGAACCTCATCCATTCCTGGGCTGGACTATGGCTGTGAATCAAAGAAGGGATCTTTGGCTTTCTGCAGCCTTCATCCATTCCATGACCTTCCTATTCAACCCTCAGGGAGGAGGCTGGGAAAGGGCTTTGACTATCAGTCAATAAAGGCAGCTTCTCTGCTGTGGACCTCTCGCCTGTGTTTCATCTCCCACGGTGGGAACCAACCACTTAGGGACACTTCAAAGTCCCAGCAATCTATAGCTGCCTTTTTTTGGTAGCTGCTAAAAAGACTTTATTGGTGTTCCCTCTTATCTGGGTAGTAAATATTTTATTTTTTTTTAATTTTTTAAAAATGTTTTATTGATTTTTAAGAATGACAGTCTTTAGTGCTTAGTAAACGTGTTGTCTGGGTTCATATATTTAACATCCAATGTTTTTTCCCTGATCCTCCTTTCTTCCCCCATATTTTCCCCTCATTACACAGTTGCAATTTTTAGTACTATTGCTGAATACGAAGTTAGATATAAACATCTTCATCATATTATACTGTCATACAAATAACAATAATATCAATTCATAAATCAACATCCCATTTTTCTTGCTCTTGTTAAGGTTTGATTTCCCCTCAATATTGGAAATCGTTGTCAGTTATGATTTTCTCAATGTTAATTACATTTATATAGCTAAACGTTTTGTTCATACCAATCCTCTTATTTTCATATTTCCCATATCAAAAAAAAAAAGAAAAAATGCTATTTTAATTCTAAATCATATCTTTCATTATAAAAGTCTAACTGTATCTAAGGGTCATCTGTTCTTTTAATCTTATTCAAACAAGTATTTAAACATATAATGCCCCCTCTAAAAGGTCAAATCTTGTTTTTTAAATCAAACTCTTTCTTTCTTTCTTTCTTTCTTTCTTTCTTTCTTTCTTTCTTTCTTTCTTTCTTTCTTTCTTTCTTTCTTTCTTTGTCAAATAGCTTTCCACGTCAGGACAATTAAATCGCCAAGGAATTTTCTTTCTATTTTTGTGAAATTTGCTTGGCATTAGGAAGACAATTTATGTAGGATACTTTGGGGGAGAATTCCGCCCATTTAAATTCCTTAAGCAACTCCCAGTTTCCTTCCCACCCCCCGTTTCTCTTTTCATTCCTTGTCTCCCAAGTTGTGACATTTCCCCTAACAGCTCTATATTCCATTTTTAAAAATCTTCTTCCTTGCTATCAGATGTATTTTGCAGACCTAAGGGATAAAGGGTCTTTTACATTTTCATTCCTATGGCTAAGTCTTGCAGTATTTTGTTTATATATGGTCGTTTATATTTCCCTTCTTTTATCTCTTCTATCTCTACTTCCATTTCCTCTGCTTCATCTTCTGATTTCTGGTTTGTTTGTTCATAGTCTGTAGTCATTGTCTGGCGCTTTCTAAATTTAATTTGGAGATTTTCTCATTTATATTATCTAAATTGTTTTTAGTCTCACTATGGTTTCTTTTTATGTCTTCTTTGTATACAACAATTGTTTGGTGAATTAGTTGTAGCATAGGGTATATTTCCTTCTGAAAGGTGTTTGTTTTTTCCTGAGGCATCGTTCCTGGAGATCCTCTCATATCACCTGTCTCAGTAGCAGTAGATCAAAGTTTCATCTACTTTTCTGGTCTTTATGTGTAGTCTTTATAATCTAATAGGTTCCAGAGTATAGGTCCACTCCTGAAAGCAATATTTTATAGTGATCCTTTGTCTCAGGTATCCAAAAATTATCAGTCAGGCAAGGCTGTAATCCACAATGTTCAAAGTGTTCAAAATGTTCCACCTCCCTGAAAACAGCTCAAAAGTCTCTCCCAGCCAGACATAGTCCAAAGATAAATTTTCCTTCTCTCCCACTAGCTCTTGAGATTAAAAGTTCAAGCTCAGTAGGTTTTTATAGTTTAAGGTCAGGTTGATAAGTATGCCAAAATATTTTCCTTTATTGCCAGCTGTTCTCCCAAGCTAGGCGTCACCAAGGAGCCAGGAAGCAACTGATAGTGCTGTACACAAATCCATCACTAGATATCATTCAAAGTTCATTTCCCACTCTTAAGACAAAGTATTGATTTCTTATATTTCACCTCAGGAGTTTTTTTTTTTCCCAAAGAGAAAATCTTAACAATTATCTCAGTTCTCAAATTTATCAAAAATGTAGCTTTGTTACTTCCACTTCAATATTTCTGTCCCCCATAAAATTAAAATGCCGCTTCTGTTCACATTTGGAGGTTTTTAGCTTCTTGGGAGCCTTTCCCAGGAAATTCAGTTGTCAAGACTGCTAACATCGGATGTTCTTGCTTGCCATATATGAAGAAGCAAACCTGTTTTATTTAGCCTGTATAGCACTTCTAGAGTTAAAGCAGATAGTAATAGTCTGGTGGATGGGAAAATATGCTAGCTAATCATAACAATGTCTGAGCACAGTGTGGCCAAGGTCAGCCCAGCTGCAACAGGAGGGGCACTTCACACTTCACATTAATTGGAGAATGTGATTGATGACTGTAAAATGAAGGAGTGAGTTATGCTTTGTTACAGGTGTTTGGGGGAGGGAGGATTCAATTTTTGGCTTAACTTTGTTAGTGCCGAAGCTATGCAGAATAATAAAAGATTCTTTTAGAGCAGGGGTAGTCAACCTTTTTATACCTACCGCCCACTTTTGTATCTCTGTTAGTAGTAAAATTTTCTAACCGCCCACCGGTTCCACAGTAATGGTGATTTATAAAGTAGGGAAATAACTTTACTTTATAAAATTTATAAAGCAGAGTTATAGCAAGTTAAAGCATATAATAACGACGAGTTGTGTTTCTACCAAACAGTTCTACTTTGGTTTCATCTGACCATATGACATTCTCCCAATCCTCTTCTGGATCATCCAAATGCTCTCTAGCAAACTTCAGACAGGCCCGGACATGTACTCGCTTAAGCAGGGGGACACTTCTGGCACTGCAGGATCTGAGTCCCTGGCAGCGTAGTGTGTTACTGATGGTTGCCTTTGTTACGTTGGTCCCAGCTCTCTGCAGGTCATTCACTAGGTCCCCCTGTGTGGTTCTGGGATTTTTGCTCACCGTTCTTGTGATCATGTTGACCCCACGGGGTGAGATCTTGCGTGGAGCCTCAGATTGAGGGAGATTATCAGTGGTCTTGTATGTCTTCCATTTTCTAATTATTGCTCCCACAGTTGATTTCTTCACACCAAGCTGCTTGCCTATTGCAGATTCAGTCTTCCCAGCCTGGTGCAGGTCTACAATTTTGTTTCTGGTGTCCTTTGACAGCTCTTTGGTCTTCACCATAGTGGAGTTTGGAGTGTGACTGAGGTTGTGGACAGGTGTCTTTTATACTGATAACAAGTTCAAACAGGTGCCATTAATACAGGTAATGAGTGGAGGACAGAGGAGCCTCTTAAAGAAGAAGTTACAGGTCTGTGAGAGCCAGAAATCTTGCTTGTTTGCAGGTGACCACATACTTATTTTCCACCATAATTTGCAAATAAATTCTTTCCAAATCAGACAATGTGATTGTCTGGATTTGTTTTCTCGTTTTGTCTCTCATAGTTGAGGTCTACCTATGATGACAATTACAGGCCTCTCTCATCTTTTTAAGTGGGAGAACTTGCACAATTGGTAGCTGACTAAATACTTTTTTGCCCCACTGTAGAAACAGGAAGTCTGATGAAATTACATTTAATTAATTAAATTATTAATGAGATCCCTGAGGCTGATGCTGCGAAACTAAATACTGGATATCTGGCTCAATTTTTGTAAGGAACAAACGAAGGTCTCCTCTTTCGGAAATATTCAGGCGGTTTCTTTCTTTGGTCATAATATGATTAACAGCACTAAAGCCTGATTCCACAAGATATGAGGTAGGGAAAGGTATCAATAAACTGAATATCATTTTCCACATATTTGGATATAAGGCAGGCATTTTTTTTACTTTGCCATAGGTTTTCATATCCACCACTTTCAAATTTATGTTTACTTTCTTCATCATATCTAATTTCTAACAGTTCTTCTTGGCAAGTTATATCAGCCTCTTCAATATTTGCGGTAAAAGGATTTTTCATCCAGTCATACACCTTCAATTTCAAAATATCTTCAAATCGTTTTTCCATGTCCAATTTAAGTCCTGGGCAAGCAGGAATGAAGAGAAAGCCTTTATGGCCTCTACCCTGGTATTGAGGGAATGCCCAGTGGAGTCTGGTTTGTCCCCGATCCGTGCCTGTCACAGCAGGATGAAGAGAGAGCCTGGTTTTTGTCAGAGATGCCTGAAATCTCTATGACTGAGGGCTCTGTGCGGCTCTCAAAATGGCGGCCGCACCAAAATTAGCGGCCGCTTGTATTTCGGCTGGGCTTTCCCAGCCATGAGGGGCTCTAAGAGGAAGCTTGTTGTTCGTTGTGCCTTTAATTCCCCCCACCCCCCCGAAGCCGAAAATGAGGCACTTGCAGTTTTATCTCATTGCGCAGCCTCTGCTGCGATCCGGATCGTCGAGAAAGTTGACGGGAGCCTCGCAATGATGGCGCACTTCAGCAAGGCTCTCTGGCCTCCGAGAGCTCCGTGGGGGGTCGCACAGCTGAGGCTAACACCCCGCGCCTGCTGGAAAGCTCTGTGAGCCGATCAGAGGGCTCAATGGATCCAAAAATTTAAACAGCTCGATTGAACCCCTACCGCCCACCAAAAAAGCTGGAACGCCCACTAGTGGGCGGTAGGGACCAGGTTGACTACCACTGGTTTAGAGGAATAAGCCTCAAAGTTCTTTGAAAAGCTGCTTCCTTTCGGAACCAAGACATCAGTTGTAAAATAGTAAAGAAGGGATCAATATTCTCACCCAGATCCAAACATGCTGTTTACAAAGTGCTAATTGGTGCTTTTCTTCTTTGGTTGTCAGCAGCTAATTGCTGGCTACAGGAAAATAGCCAGTCTTTCCCCTGCTAGTTTGGAGGGTTTTCCTCAGATTGAAGGAAAAGACCGTCTCTTCGTAATCAACAAGGTACCCCTCCTCTTCACCGCCTCTTTGAGGTGACTTTAGGCATTTTTAGGGCCCCCAGCAGGGCGAAGTCGGGCCCGCATAGCCCTATCTTCCTGCATCTGTTCCACCACGATGCAAAACTGGAAGTCTGGATGGTAAATATTTTATTTTAACTCTTGGAAATTTTTAACTCTGGTATCTTCAGGACTCAGTGGTCTGTAACAGTCCCTGGTGTGGTGCTTATGTGACCCTCCATTATGAGCACTTTAAAGTTAACTACATACTAGCCTCACACACTGATTGAATTTTGGGTTGCGTGAAACACAACCTGGTATCAATTAACTATTCATACCAAACAGATTACATAATGGAAAGTCACACTTCCTGTCACCTATATGTCCTAAGATGTAGTTCAAGTAATCACGAGTCCGTCAGGCACATGTAGGTAGCCACCAACGATCTGCCTTTAAGAGCAGGGATCCATCCAAATCACAAAAACCTTTTTCCTACAACGCATCCAAAAGCTGCCTCTTTCAATTCAACCCTGGAAGTCAGAATGAGAGTCAAAAGAATAAAGATGGCAGCTTTTTTAAAAGGCACCCCATGCACAGCTAAAAAGAAGCAAGACTTGGATGGCACAATATTGGACAATTTGACTGCCATCCTGAGGTTGTTTTTTAACTCCCAGCACATGCCCTGAAAACAGTCCTCTTGATTATTTTGAACAATAATTTTATTAATGATTATATTTGCAGATTCAATAAAGAAACAATAAAAGAATGTGTAAACATATAATATGTGGGTGTATATATGACAAATACAATGTGAATTTTTGTTAAAAAAACTTACAACACAATTTATTTATTTATTTGACTTATATACCGCTTTAAGTGCAAGCACTCTCTAAGCGGTGTACACCAGTAAGCAATGTATATATATATTTACATTGCCCCCAACAATCTGGGTCCTCATTTTACCTACCGTGGAAGGATGGAAGGCTGAGTCAACCTTGAGCCGGTGAGATTTGAACCGTTGACCTGCTGAACAAAGTCAGCTTCCTTCTACACCATTTTTTCATTTTTAAATCTTCAGTTCTCCTTATTGAGCAACAAAGGCCAAGTAAAAAAATAACAAAAACACGTGGGTGTTTTGACTTATGACTGTAACAACTTACAACCAGAAATGCATTCCCAGTTTTGGTCATAAGTCAAAGACTTCCTGAATACTGCAAAACATTATATATACTCCCCACACTCTTATAACTCATTGTCTTAAAGTTTCTTGTGAACAGTAAGGTGTGACTTTGGAAAAAAAAGTTTCTCACATTCTTTACAATTGAAGAGATTTATCTGTTATGGGCTTTATGATGCATTTTTAGCTGTGATGTGCAATGCAATGATGCATTTTTAGCTGTGATGTGCAATGGCCTCACACTTGTGAGGCCACTCTCCTGTGTGATTTCTGGTGTGCCTGCGAAGAGCTGGAGCTTGGGCAAAATATTTTTCACTCTCCAGACTTTTATGCTTTTTCTCCAGTGTGGATTCGCTGATGCTTTAAAAGAGTATCTTTCTGAAAAAAACATTTATCACACTCCAAGCATTTATAGGGCTTTTCTCCTGTATGGATTCGTCTGTGACGTATAAGGGAATCTGACTGAACAAATGCTTTCCCACAGTCTAAACATTTGAATTTTTTTTCCCCGTGTGAATTTTCACACGAGTTCTAAGGGCTGATGGGGCACTATAAAATCTTCCACATTCGTTGCATTGATAGGGCTTCTCCCCTGTGTGAATTTTCTGATGTCTCCAAAGTACATCCTTATAAGCAAAAGGTTTTCCACATTCTGGGCATTTTATGGCTTCTGTGTGAACTCTTAGATGCCTTCCAAGGTGCTGTTTTTGGGTGAAGCATTTCCCACACTCTCCACATTTGTACGGCTTCTCCCCATGTGGATTCTCTCATGAACCTGAACCTCACTTTGTGCAAAAAAACATTTCCCACACTCCCGACATTCATAGGGTTTCTCCTCTTGGTGCTTCTTCTAGTGTGCTCGAAGTCCAGAAGAATTGATAAATCGTCTCCCACATTCAGGGCATTCATAGGGTCTCTCTCTAGTGTGAAGTCTCTGATGTCGCACCAGGTTCGATTTCAAGGTGAATCATTTCCCACATTCGAGGCACTTTTTGTTTTACTCCCCTCTGTGTGTTTTCTCATGACTCTGAAGAGATATACTCAGGGTGAAACATTTTCCACACTCAAAGCATTTGTAAGATTTTATTCCTGCATGAACCTTCTCATGGACCCGAAGACTTTGTGAGAAAAGCTCCTCCCACATTCCCAACACTTGTAAGGTTTCTCTCCTGTGTGAATTCTCTCGTGGTCACTGAGCGTGGCTTTTTCACGGAAAATTTTCCCACATTCCAGACATTGATAGGGTTTCTCTCCAGTGTGGGTTTTCTGATGTCTAAGAAGGTTTGACTTTTGACCAAAGCATAAATCACAATCCTCACATTTATGAGGTTTTAATCTGGGGGGGCTTCTGAGATCTTTGGCACCTTTTCCAAAAACGGATTTCTCACCCTCCAAACCTTGACTGGATCCACTTTCCATATGGACCTTCCTGTGGGTCAAAAGGAGGGACCGGCGAGCAAAGGATTTCCCACATTCTGAGCATTCATGGGTTTTTTGTGGTTTTTTGGAGAGCTGCTTGTGTCTGACTGGGGATCCAAAGGTTTCCCATGCTCCATGCTTTCTGGCACTTGCTGCCTTGGGCTGAATTTCTACTATCTGTTAATAATTGGCTTGCAGATAATTTTTTTTGTCACAATCTTTTATCTGCTGTTAGAAAGAAAAAGATATGGAGAATGATATTTCCTTTTGAGAAATCACAAAATCTTAGCCTTGGAAGGGACCATGTAGGTCTTCCAGACCCACTCTTTGCCCAGGGTTGAGTCCTGGGTACACCTGAGACAAAATATCCGCTGATGGAGCTCCCACATCTCTAGGAGGGATGTCCTCAACTTATGACCACAGTTGGGACTAGAATTTCGGTCATTCAGTGAAGCAGTGGTTAGGTGACCACTTCTCTCCACAACCGTAATCCCGGACTCCTGGTTGCAATCATGAAGTGACCTTGAGAGTTCTTAAGTGGAGGGAGGCTCAGACAATTGCTGTTGGGGTGTTTCAGGGGTGGGGGAGATCCTGGAGATCAGGCATAGGCCACCCATGAGTTGGGGGGCTACTGAAGTGGGATGCAAAGCTGCTGTCCCCTGGAAGCCTAAGCCACCCCAGCACAGTGATGTGAAGGAGCCCTGATTGACAACAATACTGGGACTGCGTCTTAAGTGGAGACTTGGGGCCCACGGCCATTTCAGCCATCTGCCACTGACCTCAGGACTGGACTTCAGCACTGCTGCAACTTAGAAATGCAGCTTCAAAGCTGCTTCTTCAGCTGGGCCACAATTTCCAAATTCTCTAGAATGGAGCCTGGGCCAAAAGTCTGTGGGTCCCGATCCAAGAACGCTCCTTCTCCTCTGTGGAGCTCATGGCCACATCCTCACTGGTCTCCTGCAAAGAGAAATGAGAAAGGCTCAGATGCCGACAGTAATCTGAATATAATCTGTAAATGACCTGGAAGAGGGAGGAGAAAATAGGATTATTTGTTCACAATACAAAGTAATGGAGACAGAATCGTGATTCAAGAAGACCCTGATGAGCCAAAATAGAAGAAAGCAGCAAGATGAAATCCAACAGGGACCAATGCAGAGTTGTGAGAAGGAAAAACTCAATGGAAGATGAGAGAGATCAGATGGGGCAGAGCGTGTGTGAAAAGGGCTGCTCTTTCTTATGCTTTTTGGAGGCTGCAAGGCCACAAAGATTCCAGGTCTCTGGAGCTGCCTCGGATAGGCATCTTGAAAAATATTTAAAATTATGTAAGGCAGCCTTCTAGCCATCAGCTTGTTCTATTTTACCTGCTTTAGAAGATTAGCCTCAAAACTTCTTTTGAACTTCCTCAGGACCAAAAAAGGTAAATCTTGCTTTTTAGAGATTCCACACAGCTTTTTAAAGCAGAAGCCAGGTAAACATTCGCATAGAAAGGGTTCCCTTGCTGGCTTTTTAAGCTGAGCACAAAAATGAGGATCTCACGTGGGCTAAGACAACATGAGCTCAATTCAGTTAATTTAAACTTGTTTTCTTCCCCCCCCCAAACCCTCCGCTCCCCATTGCAATGAGGTCAGTTGCGTTAATACCCCATTACAAATCTCAATACGTGTTTTAAAGCTCCGCTTACTCCATTTTTGCAACGCGAGGATAGGCAGAGACTTCGTGTCTGACGGACCACACAGAGACCTTCTGAAAGCAAAATCCCCAAAAGCGCCTTCCCGGATCCACCCGGAGCCCCGCGGGGAACCCTGGCCGGGTGAGGAGGGGGCAGATCCAGCCCGGGGAGGGATCCCCCTTTGCCCCCCTGGAGGGAAGGAAGGGATCCGCTCCCTGCAGGCGACGCCAGAGCCGAATCTCCCCAAGGAAAACCCGGCAAGCCGAAGAGGCGGATCCGCAGCTACCTTTCTCCTGGCGGGGGGGAAAAGCTCTCCTGGCGGGAGGGGCGCCCCACAGGCCGGAGGGGGAGCAGCCAGACCTGTCCGGAACGGGATCCAGAAGCCTCTCCCGAGGGATCCAGCGCCGATCCTGCCAGGGCGAAGCGAGACAGGCAGAAGAAAGCGGAAATCCAGCGAGTGGGAGGGTCGAGGCGGGGGGCGGGGCTTCTGCCCTCCTCTCGAGCTTCGCTTCCGCATTGCAGCCCCGCCTCTTGCCAGTCTCCTCCCCTCTCCTCCTCCCTCTCCCTCCCTCCCTCCCTCCCGGGGTCCCCTCCGCGGCAGAGACGGGAGGGAAGGGAAAGCGGGGTAGGGTCCTCCCTGCAGCCGAGGTTGGGGGAGCGCCTGGGGGAGGAACGGGAAGAAGCCCCTTCTAGATTCCTTCTGGATCCTGAAGATCTCCAACTCCAGCGGCGCAGGAGCCCAGGAGAGAACAGACTGGGGAGGGGGGCAAAGGAGAGTCCACCCAGCCCCCCCCCCCCACCGCTCCCTCTGCCTTCCCCTCCCTTCTGCCCAGAATCGGAGAGAGGCGCTGGGGATGCTGGGTCCCTGCTTCCCTCCCAAGGGTAAAAACACTTGAGCCACTGCTGGGCTTCGGGGTGTCCCGTTTTCACACAGTGACTTACAAACTGTTTGTAGGACCCCGAGGAGACCTCCTTCTTATTCTCTACTACCCCACCCCTCCCTTGACACTTAATGTTGATTTGGGCCTCTTAAGGATATTTGAATTTTTGAATATATATGAAGCTTCTTTAGGCTGTTCACAAGCTCCACCCATTATCAAATGTACCTTTACAGGCCTTCAGTTCACCTTCCTGGACGCTGCAGAGTTGTGGGATCACAACTCCCATCAAGTCCAGCTGGCAAGACATGGAGTAGAAACCCAGCCTAACTCACATCTGGAGGATTCCATTTAGTGAACGCTAGCAAGACTCCTTGGGGCAAGACAATTATGGACCCACAACCCAAGGAACACAATGTTAAGCTCCTGTATATAGAATGTAATTTTATTTACTCTGCAGTCCGAAATATTTCTCTTTATGAGATACAAAAACAATTAGAAGCTTTTAGAGCAGCAACCGGATTTAAGGAAGAACCGGAAGGCAAAGCAGGAGTTATGCAGCTCAGTCCAATGAGAGCCAGGAGACCCCCTCTGGCCACCTTGCCCCAGCTGCTGTCCTCCAGATGTTTGCGACTTCAACTTCCACATCTGCGGAACACCAGATTGGGAAAGGCCCTTCTGGAGCATAGCCACATTTAGTTGGAAAGAATTGGGTGGGGGAGGTGGGGCAAGGGGGGGGTCTCTTCATAGAAACCAGTGTTTTTTTTTTAAATCTTGATAACTTTTAAGATATGTGGACTAAAATCCCCAGAGTTCCCCAGGAAGCATGCTGGGAATTGAAGTCCACGCATCTTAAAAGTTGCCAAAGTTGAAAACCTCTGACAGAATCAGATACGTTGGCTTTCTGATGAGTTGTTTGGGAACTGCTCCTTAAGCTGGAAAGCAGCTCCTTTTCCATGGGTGTTTCCACCACACAGGGCCTTCTTGGTGGGGACCTCCCACTTCTGGAACCTTCCACAAAAAGAGGTGCGAATTGCCACTGCCCTGAGGGTTTATCAGGATACAGATGGCAAGTTTGTATATATTATACACATATACTATATATTACAAGTGTATATGTATGTATATATTACATACATACATACACACTTGGAATACTGCATCCAGGATTGGTCACAGCGAGTGTGAAGCTAGAGGTGAGGGGTAGGGCTTCTGTTCTCCAAACAGTCTGGGGTCCCCCTCCGCGGCCGAGACAGGGTGGAAAGAGAAGTAGGGCAGTCTTCCGTGCAGCGAAGATTGGGGGGGAAACCAGGGGAAGAATCGGGAAGAAGCCCTGAACGGATCCCTTCTGGATCCTGAAGATCCTGGAAGCGCAGCTGGGCAGTTGCTTCAGAGAGAGCAGATGGAGGCAGCTCCCCACTGAATCCCGGGAAGGAAGAAATAGGAAAGACCAGGAGCAACAGGAACACCCCCATCCCATGGGAGGAGGGATCTTCTTCAGCTGGGTGTTTGTGGATCCTGAATGAGGGACAGGGAGGGGCTGGCCTAGGGTCTCTTCCCAGGGGAGGCCTCCATGGAGGGGAGGATGCAAAACGCCTTTACCTGCCCCCATTGCCTTTCCTAACCTATAGATCTCCCAGCTTGATGTCTGGGAAGGGTTCTCCCCCACCTACGCCTAAAAGCAAGGATGGGCACTGTCAAATTTAAGAAACCATAATTTCCAAGTTTCTTGCCTTCGGTTAATACGTCCTTCCCCTCTTCTACTCATAACTCAGCTAGTATTTCACCTTCTGGAATTCCTTATCATTAGTCAAATAAAAAGCCTCTGCCCTAAACATTTCCTTCATTTTGCTTACAAAGCAACTATAGCTGCAAAATATTTCAGTCACAACTTGCTCAAAGGTGAAGGAGAAAGAGAGGCGAGGAGGGTCTGCTAAGTCCAAAGAGGCTGAGAGCTGCCATGATGCTTTGGGACTTTGCTGCCCCAGAGTCAGAAAGCGACTTTAAACTATGATCCCCTTTCCGCCCAGGAAGTGAGCTAACTCTAGCTTGACATTATTCACCATTGTGGTGAACAATGTGGGAAAAGTGCACTCCGGACAAATTAACAAGAGGCTATACGATAGTATAAATGATTTTATTAAGGCTGCACAATGGACTGAAATGATTTTGTGGTAAAGGGTGAAAAAAAAAATCCCTCGCCTGGGTGTTATTAAAATAAGATTCTGATCTAGAGGGAGAAAATATCCTCCAGATGCCACTTAAGCCTCAGGGTCTTTTTTGCCCCCTTATCCACCCTTTCGTATTCTCAGTGGAACCTACGATTCCATACGGTTCCCAGAGAAGCAAAAGATCCATGAAACCTTAAAAGTTATACATTAGAATCCTGAAAGAGGATTTCCTGTCCCAGTTCATAGCTGGCAACCTGGGTCTCTTGGGGTCTCTTCCACTGGGAATACGAGAGAGTAGATAAGGGTAATTTTTTTTCTCAGTGTACCACAATTATGAACGGCTATCTGTTTTTTGAAAAGACTTCAGGATAAAATGTTTTCTATACTACAAACATTTCTAGGGCTCTTCTCAGTGAGAACTTACAAATGTTTGGCAATTCTTATTTCAAGGAACAGATTTTCCACACACCAAGCTCTGATGTGGTTTGTCACCCAGAAAGTGTGTCCAATAGTCCGAGCACCTGGAGGGTTTCTCTTCAGAGCATTTTTACCTGCAGACCCAGGTAGACACTCCAGGAAAATATTTTACGCACATCAAGTGCACAGTTTATTTCTCTTGTGAATCCTTTGGGGCCTGCAGAGGTCTCAGTGAGGTCGGTATTTTGCAATATTTCAAGCATTTCAACAATGGCCCCCTTTTCTGAATGTTTCAGAGTTTATCAAAGGTTTCATTACGGGCAGTCCTCGAGTTATGACATCACTTAACAACTGTTCAAAATGGTGACAGGTGTTGATGGCCCATAAAACAATTCCGGGCATGGTAACATTTTGCCCCTGTTCTTCAAGGTTAGATAACTAAATTATGGGCACTTGACAACCGGCTGCCTTTTATGACCGGTTCCATGATCTTGCAGCCATGGGATCACAATGTGCAACTTTTTCGTCAGTTTTCTGTAGAACATGCAAACTTGAAAGAGTATGTTTAGACTTAGGACTGCAGTGACTTGTTTAATGACCACAACGATGTCTTAAAATCATATCCAATCATATGGGTACCTCAATGGACGACTGTATAAAGCTACAACCACAAATCTGTTCTCAATTCCACCATAAGTCGAGGACTAGCAGCACTCTGCAAAACATAATCTACCCTCCCCAACACTTGTAACTCTTTTCTCTTGTGTAATGTCTCTGGTAAATTACTAGTGCAGCACCTTTGTCAGCCAAACTCTTTTCACACTCCCAACACTTAATGCCCTTTTGCTTTATTGTGTACTCTCCGATAGTATTTAAGACACTGTGACTAGGAAAAACATTTTCCCCACACCAAACAGTTGTAGGATTTCCCTCCTGTCACTGTGTGAAGTTCCTGATGAATGGTAAGGTGTGACTTTTGAAAAAGACGTTTCCCACATTGTTCACGACAGAAGAGATATCTCTCCATTATGGACTTCCTGATGTATTTTTAGCTTTGATTTACAATGAAAAGGTTTCTCATTTTCTGCACACTTGTAAGGCCACTCTCCTGTGTGATTTCTGGTGTGCTTGTGAAGTGACGAAGACTGGGCAAAACATTTCCCACACTCCAGACATTTATATGGTTTTTCTCCAGTGTGGATTCTCTGATGTCTCACAAGAGTTTGTTTTTGAGAAAAATATTTATTGCACTCCGAGCATTTATGGGGCTTCTCTCCTGTATGCATTTGGCTGTGACGTTTAAGGTGAGATGAAAGAACAAATGCTCTCCCACAGTCTAAACATTTGTAGTTTTTTTCCTCTGTGTGAATTTTTACATGTCTCCAAAGGGCTGATGTGGTACGATAAAATCTTCCACATTCATTGCATTGATAGGGCTTCTCCCCTGTGTGGGTTTTATGATGTTTCCAAAGTACATCCTTATAAGCAAAAGATTTTCCACATTCTGGGCATTTGTATGGCTTCTCTCCTGTGTGGAGCCTCTGGTGCGTTGCAAGGTGGTGTTTTTGGGTAAAGCATTTCCCACATTCCCCACATTTGAATGGTTTCTCCCCCGTGTGGGTTCTCTCATGAACCTGAAACGCTGTTTGAGTAACAAAACCTTTCCCACACTCCCCACATTTATATGGTTTCTCCTCTTTGTGACTCTTCTGGTGTCTCTGAAGTTCAGAAGAATACATAAATCGTTTCTCACATTCTGGGCATTTATGGGGTCTCTCTCCTGTGTGACGTCTCTGATGTTGCACCAGGTGTGATTTCAAGGCAAAACATTTCCCACATTCAGGGCACTTTTCGTTTTTCTCCCCTCTGTGTGTTTTCAAATGCTTCCGAAGAGTTGAATTGTCAGTGAAACATTTTCCACACTCAAAGCATTTGTAAGATTTTATTCCCGTATGGATCTTCTCATGGTGCCAAAGATCTGACTTCCGAGGAAAGCTCTTCCCACATTGCCAACACTCGTAAGGTTTCTCCCCTGTGTGAATTCTCTCGTGGTCTCTGAGATAGGCTTTTTCACGGAAAGATTTCCCACATTCCAGACATTGATAAGGTTTCTCTCCGGTGTGGATTTTCTGATGTCTAAGAAGGTTTGACTTTTGACCAAAGCATAAATCACATTCCTCACATTTATGGGGTTTTAATCTGGGGGAGCTTCTGAGATCTTTGGCTCCTTTTCCAAAAAAGGATTTCTCACCCTCCAGTCCTTGACTGGATCCGCTTCCCACATGGATCTTCCAGTGGGTCAAAAGGAGGGACCAGCGAGCAAAGCCTTTCCCACACTCTGAGCATTCGTGGGTTCCTTGGTGGTTTTTCAGAGTGTTGCTTGTGTCTGACGGGGGATTCAAGAGCTTCCCACTCTCCATGCTTTTTGGTGACTGCTGCCTTGTGCCAATTTTCTATTATCTGTTGATACTTGGCTTATAGGTGAATCTTTGATCCCAATCTTTTCTCCCCTGTTAGAAGGAGAGAGAAGTGAAGAGTAATATCTCTTTTTGAGACATGTAGACAATCACAAAATCTTTCAAGGGACCTTGAAAGTCTTCCAGTCTGACCCTTTGCCCCATGTAGGCTGCTCAGTACAACTGACCCCTACATCTCTAGGAGAGATGTCCTCAACTTATGACCACAGTCAGGACTGGAATTTCGGTCGTTCAGTGAAGCAGTGGTTAGGTGACCACTTCTCTCCACAACCGTAATCCCACACTCCTGGTTGCAATCATGAAGTGACCTTGAGAGTTCTTAAATGGAGGGAGGCTCAGGCAACTGTTGTTGGGGGCGTCACAGAATGGGGGGTCATAGAGACCAGGCACAGGCCACCCATGAGTTGGGGGGTAGGTGCTGAAGTGGGATGCAAAGCTGCAGCCACTCCTGGAAGCCTGAGCCGCCCCAGCATGGCCATGCAAAGCAGCATTAATTGACAACAATGCTGAGACTGGGCCTTAACTGGAGGCCTGGGGCCTTCAGCAGTGTCATTCAACTGCCACAGGCCCCAGGTCTGGACTTCAGCCCAGTGTCACTGCTGCTATTGAGAAATGAGGCCTTAATCCCCAGACTGGAGGCCTCTGCAGCCTTGCGCCATTCTCCAAGCCGCCTGTTCCATACTGTTGCTAAGCAACGTGTCCCAAAGCATCTAACCTTCTTCAGGGCCCCTTCAACTTCCACATTTCCTGTGCCAGGACTCACAGGGCCTCCACTGCCCACCTCAGGCAACCCCACATTCCTTAACTGGGACTTTGTCTGCTTGTGAAGTAGCTTAACATCCATCACCATGAGGGCAGAATTGCAGTCACTGAGCAAAGCAGTCATGTGACATCTCACTAAATGACCGCTTCTCTCAAAGACTGAGATTCCGGTCTGAATTGTGGTCATAATATGAGGAGTACCTATAGGGAACCCCCAAAATTAAGGCATCGCATAAGCAAGGGAGGAGGGAAGAGAGTTCGGGTTAGTGTAGCCATCCATTTCTGATCCCTTTTCCTTGCTTTTTCCGATTGTTGCATCACTGAGCTCCATCCCATCATGATGTCTTGATCCTCCCTTCGTGATGCATTTTGTACATTTTATAAAATACTACGAAAAGGAAAAAAATGAATCCAGGAAACTACAGACCAATCAGCCTGACATCAATACCTGGGAAGATCCTGGAAAAGATAATTAAACAAGGAAACTGCAAAAGTCTAGAAACAAAGCTATTACTAGAAGCCAACATGGGTTTGTCAAAAGCAGATCATGCTACTAGGCAAACTTTATTGTCTTCTTTGAAAAAGTGACTAAAATAGTGGAACAGCTAAATTCCATCGACCTAATATACTGGGATTTCAGTAAGGCATGTGACAAAGCAGACCACAGCACACTTCTTGATAAGATAGAAAAATGTTGGATATACAGCATCATCACCCAATGGATTCATAACTGGCTGACTAACCACACTGAACACGTAGTCCTGAATGGAACTACATTGAGCCTTCATCCAGCAACTTGGGAGCGAAACACAATTTCTCTGCATTGCTGTTTTGTCAAATAAAGATTTAAAAAATATAATGTTTATTCTCCAAACCAAGATTTAACCAAGATTTGTTTACTCACCTTTAAATTTACAGCTAAAAGGTTTCTGGTACATTTATTACCCCTCTGATTCAAGGCTAGGAACGACCCTCATTGCTGACTGGTTTGATTTCTCCTTAATCCATTTGTCCTTTGTGCAGGAAGCTGCTTCTCCAACTGGACCACCATTTCCAAATTCTCTAGAATGGAGTCCTGGCCAAAAGTTGGTGGGTCCCGATCCAAGAATGCCTCTTCTCCTCTATAGAGCTCATGGCCACATCCTCATTCGTCTCCTGCAAAGAGAAATGAGAAAGGCTCAGATGCTGACAGTAATCTGAATATAACCTGCAAATGATTTAGAAAAGGAATGTGAATATGGAATTATTTGTTGAGGATATAAAATAATGGAGACAGAATCGTGATTCAAGAAGATCTTGATGAGCCAAATTGGAAGAAACCAGCAAGATGAAGTCCAACAGGGACCAATGCAGGGTTGTGAGTAGGAAAACCCAATGTAATATGAGAGAGATCATATGGGGCAGAGCATGTGTGAAAAGGTCTGTTCTTTCCTGCTCTTTATGGAGGCTGCAAGGGCCACAAAAATTCCAGGTAGGCATTTCAAAAAATATTTACAATTAGGAAAAGCAGCCTTTTGGCCATCGGCTTGTTTTATTACCTGCTCACAAGGCCAGCCTCAAAACTTCTGTTGAAGGAAAAATCTTCACCAGGGTCCAGTCCAAGCCGGGAATAAACAAACACAAAGATTCCTTTAGAAAGAAGATTGTAGTTTATTGAAGAGGAGAGCCAGACAGAAAGATGGCTCTGGGAAAGCTGACCAACACGTAGCTGGGATTGGTGGGTTTTTATACCTCCTTTGGGCTTTGTATTTGCAGTTCTTCCTGTTTGAGGTTTTGTATTTCCTGCGTCATACACTTTGACCTGAGTGAGTGTGTCTTTTTGGTCGTTAATCCTATTATATTTTCTGTCCTTAGAATGTGGCTGGGGATATGTAGATTTTAGGTGTCTTTGTCTTCCTAATCTCTTCAATTTCTAGCTGAAAGGCTCCAACTTTTCTGAAAGGATTATTGAATTTGCATTTCTAAAAGCTGGCCTCTGCCTAGGAGCTGGGGCTGATTTCTGTCTTTTTTAAGATCTCCATTATTCTTTTTAATATTCCCCCAAATATTTCTATCTCTGGATTGGTGCTTTGTAAAATATCCACCAAGGGGCTGCCACATCACAGCCTCTTCTAGGCAAAAAAAAAAAAAAGCTTTTTAAAGCGGAAGCAAAGTAAACATTAGCATCAAAACAAAGGACTTTATTTTCAGCTTTTTACATTGAGCTCAAAGAAAGATCTCTTGGGGGGGGGGTTAAGAAAACACGAGCTCAATTCACATCAGTTTCAACGTTTTCTTTTCCCCAAAGTCTCCCCTCCCCATCGCAATGAGGTCAGTGTGTGTGAATACCTCATTACAAAGCTCCGTGTACTCCATTTTTGTAACTGCACTTGCGGGATATGCATGCTAGGAGACCTCGTGCTCTGACGGACCACAGAGAGACCTTCTAGACTAGAGCAACTTCCCCAAAAGCTCCTTCCCGGATCCACCCGGAACCCCACGGGGAGCCCTGGCCGGGAGACGAGGGGCCAGATCCAGCCCGGGGAGGGATCCCCCTTTGCCCCCCTGGAGGGAAGGGAGGGATCCGCTCCCTGCAGGCGACGCCAGAGCCGAATCTCCCCAAGGAAAACCCTGCAAGCCGAATTGCCGGATCCGCAGCTACCTTTCTCCTGGCGGGGGGGGGGAAGCTCTCTTGGCGGGAGGGGCGCCCCAAAGGCCGGAGGGAGAGCAGCCAGACCTGTCCGGAACGGGATCCAGAAGCCTCTCCCGAGGGATCCGGCGCCGATCCTACCGGGGCGAAGCGGGACACACGGAGGGAAGCGGAGATCCAGCGAGTGGGAGGGGAGAGGCGGGGGCGGGGATAGCCAGGAGGAGGGTCGGGAAGAAGCCCCGGGAAGATCCCTTCCGGATTCCGAAGATCCTGGAAGGGCAGCTGGGCAGGAGAGAACGGAAGAAGGCGGATTACCGGTGAATCCCCGGAGGGAGGAAGTGAGAAAGAATCAAGAGCGCAGAAGGGAATCCCCCCCCCCGTCCCTGCGAGGAGGGGTCTTCTCCTCCTGTTCCTCTCCCCCCCAGCACCCATTTAAGCAAACATAATTTCCAATTTACTTGTCTTCATGTCCCATCAACGTTGCTTTCCCCTCTTCTCATCATTCAGCCAGTGGGTCGGGGGGGGGGGGGAAGGGAGAGGCAGTGGGGGATCTGCTATGTTCGAAGAGGCTGAGAGCTGCCATGATGCTTTGGGGCTTCACTGCCCCAGATTCAGAGGGGGGACCTTAAATTATGATTCCCTTTCAGCCCAGGAAGTCAACTAAGCCCTCAGCATTATTCACTATTGTGGTGAACAATAGGGAAAAATGCACTCCGGAGAAATTAACAACATGCTGCAGGATAGTTGAAATGCTTTTTATTAAGGCTGCACAATGGATTGAAACGTTTTTCCAAAAAAAAAAAAAAAAAAAAAAAATCCCACTCCAGAAGTTTATGGACTTTCACAAAGTTCCCATCGAAACAAAACATCCATGAAACCTTAAAAGTTTTACATTACAATCCTAAAAGAGAATTTTCTGCCCCATTTAAGAGCTGGCGATCCAGATCTCTTCCACGTGAATAGGAGAAGACGCAGGGTGGATAAGGGGTCTCTTTTGCTTAAGTAGCATCTGAAGGATATTTTCCCCCTCTAAATCACAACCTTTTTTTTTTAAATAACACCGGGCCAGGGAACTTTTTTCTCACTTCACCACAATTAGGAACTGCTTTGTGTTTTTTGGAAAAGATTTCAGGATAAAACATTAAGAATTTTAGGCCTCCCCTCTGTGGGGACTCACGAATGTATGGCAACAATTCTCTTATTTCAAGGAACAGATTTTCCACACACCAAACTCTGATGCGGTTTGTCACCCGGAAAGAGTGTCCAGTAGTCCGAGCACCCGGAGGGTTTCTCTTCAGGGCATTTTTACCTGCAGATCCAGGTAGACACTCCAGGAAAATATTTCACGCACACCAAACGCACAATTTCTTGTGGATTCTTCAAGGCCTCCTGAAGTCTCAGTGAGGTATTTTACAGTATTCCAAGCATTTACACAACAGACCCCCTTTTGCGAATGATCCAGGGTTTATCAAGGTTTCATTACAAGTAGTCCTCAACTTGCAGCAAATATTATTGGTCCATAAACTACTTCTGACCACTGTAAAATGTTGCCCCTCCCCCCAGGTTATCTGACCACATTGTGAGCACTTGGCAACCGGTTGGCTTTTATCACCAGTTCCATGATAGTGCATCCATCAGATCACAATTTGCAGCGGGTTTGCCATTTTTTGCAGAAAATACAAATTTGGAAGAATGGCTTTATACATAGGACTGCTTATTGCTTATTGGCCACAAAAAAAATCCCATAAAATCAGATCCTGTCTTACGGGTACCCCAACAGACGACTGTGTAAACCTATAATTGGTTAATTCATGTTACCTGACACTGATAATGTTACCTAGTTGGGTAATGAAACGTCTGCAAGAAAGAAAATGAAGCTCAGAGAGCACCAAGATCCCCACACCAGCTCTGGCCAAAGAGCCCCTTGTCTGAGTGCATTGAGTTACTGGTCCCAACATCAGTTGAGAAGGAACCTCATCCACTCCTGGGCTGGACTGTGGCTGTCAATCTAATACAGCCTTCATCCACCTACGTACCCAACCCTCAGGGATGGGGGCAGGAAAGGGCCTTGACCATCAGTTAATAAAGGCTGATTCTCTGCTGTGGACATCTTGCCTGGGATTCATCTCTCACGGTAAGAAGCAACCACTCAAGGACACTTCAAAGTCCCAGCGATCTATAGCTTCATTTTTATTTTTTTTTTTGGTAGCTGCTAAAAGACTTTTTCGGTGTTGCCTCTTAACTGGATAGTAAATATTTTATTTTAACTCTTGGGAATTTCTAATTCAGATATCTTCAGGCCTTAGAGTGGTCTGTAATAGCCTCTGGTACGGTGCTTGTGTGACCCTCCATCATGAGCACTTTGAACTATACACACGCAAGCCTAACATTAACTGAATTTTGGATCACATGAAACGCATCTTGGTATCAATTTACAATTCACGCTAAACTGATTACATAATTCAAAGTTGTACTTCTTATGACCTGCGATGTATGTCCTAAGTAAGATATGGAACAATTAATCACAAAGTGTGTCAGGCACATGTAGGTGGCCACCAATGATCTGCCTTTAAGAGCAGACCCCCAGGACAGTTTTCCTAAAGTTTATCTGAAATCCACCCTCTTGGATTCAACTCAAGAAGTCAGAAGCTTCCAACAAAGGAGGGTGGAATGAAAAGAACCAAGATGGCGGCTGTTTAAAAGGACATCACGTATAAAGCTAAAAAGCAGCAGGACGTTGACTGCAGAGTGTGGCACAATTTGATGGCCATCTTGATTTTTTTGATACCCCCCCCCCCAAAACATGCCCTGGAAATAGTCCTCTTCATTATTTTGAACAATAATTTTATTGAGGATTATAAGTGCAAATCAAATACAACCATGTATGACTGTGTGAATATACTGTACATATGAAAAAGACAAAAGGAAAAAAAAGGGAAAAACCTCCAAAAAAGATAATAGGAAAAAGACTTTCCCTCTTCATCCTCAGCAACCGATATCAACACTTTATCACTGAATAAACCACCAGTGGCATCTTCTTTCCACCCCTCACCCCGTTTTCACCTCTCTGAACCTTCAGTTCTCCTTATTGATCAACTACAATAACAAAAATATCTGGGTGCCTTGACTTACGACTGTAACAACGTATGACCAGAAATGCATTCCTGGTCGTGGACATACGTCGAGGACTACCTGTGCTCTGCAAAACATTTTTTTCTACTCGCCACACACTTATAACTCTTTTGTGTAATCACTCTGGTCAGTTACTAAAGCAGCTTTGTGAGCAAAACATCCTCACACTCCCAACACTCACTCCTTTTTCCCTTCTTGGGTGCTCTCTCCTGGTATTTGAGGTTGCTTCACTAGAAAAAAAAAATATTTTCCCCACATCAAACTTTTGTAGGATTTCCCTTCTGTGATTGTGAAGTTCCTGTCTTGAATGGGCTTTGGCAGGAGAATTTGCTCATGAATGGGGCCTCAGTCTTCTGAATGGGATTATCAAATCTGCATTTCTAAAGAGTCTCTC